GAAATAGGAATTTTTTTTCAGTTGGATAGCTAGTTTAGTTTTCTCCATACTGTTTACTGAATAGGTCACTGTCTTCTAATTTAAGCAGAAAAATAGATCAGAGGAACAGAATAGAGTATAAAATAGATCTGACTCGGGAGCGGCAACATTATTGCCCCCTTCCTGGGAGTCGAGATGTTGGGGCTCAGCCAACCAGAGATGGAGGGTTGTGGTAATCTGCTCTGCCTGTTGGAGAACAATGAGATCGTGGCCCTATGTGACACCATTACCAACCACCTGGTGCAGCGTGAGGAACACCAAGATGCCATTCGTGCAATATTAGTCTACTGTCAAAGTGTAGAAGTTCTGAAGTGAAAAAAAGGCCACCAGTAGATAATATTTAAGTACTTGCAACACAAGGAGTGGTTATACCTCCGGCTCCTGAAAGATAATCTTATTCAGTGCACAAAAGGTTACTGGAAAAAGCAATTACAACTGAAACTGAAAGAAACACCAGAGCCAGTTACAAAGAGAGAAGACATCCAGCTCTTTCAAAAACAGGAGAAAGAAGATTAAAAAGGTGAAAAAGTTGATTTTCATCAATTAGCAGAATTCTGTTACTGGTTCTTTGAGCTTCTTAATTCTCAGAATCCTTTTCTGGGACTACCTCAAGATGAATGGGGACCACACCACTTCTGGCATGATGTCAAACTTAGGTTTTATTACAACACATCGGAACAAAATGTGATAGACTACCACGGAGCAGAAATTGTGAGCCTCCATTTATTATCACTAGTGAAAGAAGAGTTTCTTTTTCTCAGCCCTGACCTAGATTCCTATGGACTGAAGTGTGCTTCTTCTTCTCATGGGTTAGTTATGGTTGGAGTGCTGGGACTGTCCTCTGAAGGGAGACTTACTTGGGCATTTTTGAACAAATTTTTGTACTCATCTGCTGCCAATTTGTGGAAAATGCTTGGAAAATCAAATTTATCAACCTGAGAATTGTTGGAGATTGTTCCCTTGCTCCTGGAACATTACAGAAACCAACTATTATGTTTGAGCCAAGTGATCTAGAGGCCGTTTATAATGTGATCACTTTATGTGGCACCAACAAAGTATGATGTAAGGGAAATCAGTGGATAGTGGAACTGGAGGCCAAGCTTTATGTACTGGAAATGAAGCATTGTTGAACAAAAGACAACTGAGTTTACCTCTAAAGCACTGAGCACCATATGTCATCATAAAAATCTTCTGTACAGAAACTCTTCCAAATACTACATTAGTAATGTCTAATTGATTTCAGGTGTGAAGATTGACATATTTTTAGTTGAAATACCTTTCTTGACTACAGATTGACATGTGAATACTTGCCTATTTCTACATGAGTTGCAGCAGATGTTCTGAGAGCATAATACAGTTCATCAAATAAATCCCACTTTAGGTGTTATAGCTAATGGTGTGCCTTAGAAACCAGGTAATGCTTTCATTTTACTTAGTGAGTATTCTGATATCTGCTTTTCAGGTAGGAAAGGATTAATAGTGTTCAGGGCTTCAGCCGGTATGTTTCTCGTTTACTTTTATCTAAATCTAGATTAGATATTTTACAAATGTATCTTGCTAAAGTATTGTTTAAAAAAAGATTTAATATTTTAGAGATGGTTAATGTAAACTTGAAATTCTCATTTTAGAAAACTTGAATGACATTTCTTCATAAAAAAATTCAGTGATTTAGCAGGTAGAGAAAAATTTACTTGTTTAAATAGTTGAGAAATATTTTTCAGTTATCTGCTGTACTTTAAGCTAAATATCTTTTATAATCTAACATTTCCTGAACTGTTTTGGGCAATGATAAATGCTGTTCCCCAGACAGACCTTATTCTTACCTAGGCTTCTATTAACAGTTTCATAGAACATTTATATTAGTACGTTGTAGAAAAAACATACTGTTGAAATTATTAAAATGGTGTATCTGGTTCCTAACTTTTAAATAAATTACTCTTCTTCCTCTTTGTTAATCTTGGGAGAGGTGACAGAAACCCCACAAATTTATAATGTGTACGTACTTGTACACATGTATATATACATCCACATCATAAATTAAAATTATTAGTTTTTAACTTCTGATTTGTGTTACAGTGTTTGAGTTATAGGGTTGAGTTGCCAGATTAATTTCATAATTGCTTTAAAGTTCAAAATCCTTGTCACCCAGCAACTGGATTTAGTTGGTAATTTTAATTTACAAAAGTGCCATTTGGACAAAAAATTCAGCTGGACAATTGTGATAATGTATGTTAAGTTTTACCTTTAACTATGCTCATGATCATCTAGGGTGATTGATATATGAATGTTGGAAGCAGGAGGAGAAAACTCATCTCTTTTGTTTTTTTAATTCCATGTGTCTTATGAGGAGTATGAGTTGATATGTCCTAAAATAAGAACTTAATAAAGGAGGGAAATCTCTTTTGCCTGCTGTAAGAATACTGTATTGTTTAGATTTAATTTGCAGTTGTCTTACTCTTGGATAATAAAATTTTAGGCAGTTAACCAAAATAAAGCAAATTTTACTGCTGCTTTAAAAAAAAAAAAATCTATCTCATGGCCAAAACTATATTATCTTTTAAATGAGGTTTTGATTATATGTTTTGATATCTGATATGACCTGTTTCTGTAATTTTTCTTCTTTTTCAAATAGCTTGTTAGTTTCTATGGAAAATATGTGGGTGAGACTTTAATTTTGATTGCCTTAAATTTATACGTTAAATGAGATACAGACATTTATTACAATAGTTTTGAGCATGGTCATCTTTATAATCTTAAGGCTTTTAATATAGGAACAGAGTATGGCATTACATTTATTCAGGGTATTTTGTGTTCTTTAGCTATGTTTTATTGAGAAGGAAGTTCTTACACACTTAATCATTCCCAGGTATTTTATAGTTTCTGGGTTTTTTGGGTTACATTTTCTAAAGCTACTGATTTTTGTATCCCATTACTTTATTAACTCTTATTATTTCTACTAGTTTTCTGTTAAGCCTCTTGGATTTTCTAAGTATATAACAATTTAATCTAGAAATAATGAATTCTGATTTTCCTTTTTCAGTTATGTATACATTTTTCCTAGATGCTCACATAGTTTACCCAGGTATAAGCAAGATGAAGATGAAAAGTATCTTACGTTATTTCTTTTTTACAGAATGAAATGATAATAGTCTTATTTCTAGATGCCTCCAAAATTGTATGTATCACATACTATTTTCCAATATGCCGTCTTATAGTTTTTTTTTCTTTATTGATTTGTTATTTTAGATAAAATAATGAGCACAAATGAACTTTACAAATCAGCCTGATTGGGGAAGAATATTTTGATAACAGGGCATTTTTGGATCCTGGAAGATTATCAAGAAGGTGTTAATTTATTTGTAACAGTTTTCCCGTATTTACTTTTCAATTTTTTTAAATAAAGAAACTTAATGTATTCTAACAAAATTGAGCTATGTTCCAAAGTGAATACTGTTTAAACCATTGTTTTATAATCATACATTTAGACATATTAGCAGAAGGAGACCAGTGGCAAACATTAATGGAATAATTTCCAGTCAACATACCAGTGATTTTCAGGGCATATGTGAACCAAATCCCAGCCAAGTTTTCTTTGCATATTTAAAGTTCACTTCCTTAGCCATCTTCCTTTGTAATCTTCTGCAGTATCAGTAAATACATATTTTTGTCTGTTATGTGCCATAGAGTTCATTCCGACTCATAGCGACAGAGTAAAACTGCCCCATAGAGTTTCCAAGGAGCAACTGGTGGATTTGAACTGCCGACCTTTTGGTTGGCAGCCGAGCTGTTAACCACTGCGCCACCAGTGCTCCCCACTTCTATATAGGCAATATGTATCCCTGGTTTATAGGTTACTGTATATAGCGTACACACATTGCCAGTTTTCCAGTAATCTGAATGTAGAGCACAGCTGAATTAGCAGGGCCAGTTTTGTAGGCAATAGACATGATTTCTCTCATCTTTGACCTTCTGTTCTGCTTTTTATTTTATTATAATTTTTTTCTATTAAAAAAAAGTCCTTATTCTTAGATTTTAAGATTTTTGAGAACACTACAGAGTTTTTTTCAGGTGCTATTTAGATACTTAATAATTGAATTTAATTGAAAATATCAGTTTTTATTATATATGTTAGTGGAACTTGATACAGTATACATTTCTTTCTTTCATTCAAGTATTCTTTATTTAGAGAGGGATTGGATACATATCTTCAGTTCTTTTCCAATAAATAAAATACTTCAGTAGGAATGAGGACCATCAGTTTCTTTTGGCTTCACCTGAAGACAAATTTAGTGGTCTTTTGAAAGATTTAGGTCAGAAAGGAAAAGCTGTCAATATCCTATTTGTTCTTCAGCTCTTGAGTAATATTTCGATAGTCATTTCATAGAAAGGCTCAATGAGAACTGAATTAAAATCTATATGCAAGTAAAATGATAGGTGGCAGATGGCAACATTTAACTCAACCTAGTTCAATTTGGAATAGAAATCAGTTTCAGTCATTATATAATTGAAATATAGTTATAGTACTGGCACATTACAACCTTGGAGCTAGTATAGATCATAAGATAAAACAAATTCAGTGTGATTGTTTGCTTAGGTAGCTTCGAGATGCTTTCCTTTAGTTTTATCAAGAACCAGTAGAGCATTGCAACTAATATGATGTATTCTGAATTTGTAAAAGACAATGAAAATTGCTATTCAAATAATGTAGTCTGTGGCTACTGTTGTCTGCTAAGTTATTAGAAGTGGTAGAATGACTCAAATATTTTTGGTTAGCAATCATTTTTATTCTGCTTCAGTTTCATTTTCTTAGCATCTCGATTTTAAAGAAAAAATGACTCTAGAAGAAATTCTTCATACATTTTTTAAACTTAAGTTTGGATACCTAGCTGATTTTTTTCTTTTAATTGATAAAGCTATCTTTTCTGGATTATGTTATCTTTTTTGTTTGTTTCCTACTACAGGTTTTCAACACATACTCCAATGAAGACTATGACAGGAGAAATGATGAAGTTGACCCTGTAGCTGCTTCAGCTGAGTATGAACTTGAAAAGCGTGTAGAAAAGCTGGAACTTCTCCCGGTGGAACTAGAGAAAGGTATATGAGTTCTACGATGTTTATAATATTATGTTACTATGTTAATAATACAGGTATTACTTATTTCTCCTAAGGGTTAACTTTTTCCTATGATTGGCTAAAGTTTTAGTTCTCGTGGAGTATCTTATTTATTAAATTTCAAAAATAGTTGATACGGATTCTAGGTAGATGGTGGATTAAAAGACCCTGTCCTCCCTTTCCATTTCAACTGAAACTCATCTACTTTAGTTGTCTGGGATGGCAGTGAGGACTGGGGCGCTATGAGTGCTAATGCTTCATTGGTTATCCTGGAAAGAGCTGGTATAAGTGAAAGCCCCACGAGAACTGCTTGCAGCAGGTGATAAAAAGTATTTTATTCTATTTTTTTTGGTGGAGGAAAAGTAGTCATACTTAGGTTTGGGAATTTGATAGATTAGATATGGGGAGAGCTTGCCTTTACAGAATTAATGGACTGCTGGGTTGAAAGCAGTGGTATGCTGCTAAATGTTTAACAACTGGCTCTTGGGTAGGAAGAGCTTCATTTATACGGTTTTGCCAGTTTCAGTGGGTAAGTATTTCCACCATGACCTATTTCAAGCAACCAACTTAACATCAGCTGGCTCACAGTATTTCTAAAAATTTCACAGTTGGCTCTCATAAGCCAGTACAAGCTGCCTTCAGCTCTCCACTGTATAAAGATCATCATTGTTGCATGAGTGTGCTTGATCTCCCTGGTTTCTCTGGAATCCAGGAAGATCTAAATGAGAGTACTACATCCTCTCCACTTCTGAGGGGAGAGTGCTGAATGTGAACAGGGACAACAGGGAGCAGAGGGACTTTATCCTTAGTTCCCTCCCTGGATTGACAGCATGCATGCTGTAGTACCTGCTGACTCACAGGACCAGAGACTGCCCTGTTTATCATCATGTAAGATGGACACCTGGGAGCTGGACTGAGAACCAGTGAACAGAAAAATAAAACATCTTTGGGAGCTTTAAAAAAAAAAAGCAGAACAAGTAGATGACAATGTGAATAACAAAAAGAAAGAAAATAATCCCAGGAAAGGTACCCACGTACGGCTTTAAAAAGACCTTCTTAAGCAAACTAACAAAAACAACGAAAATCTTGATTTCAAACTAAAAATTTCAGTATAGAAATTAAAGAGTAGATGGTTATTGTTGAAACTCATATTGGTGACCTAAATGATCAAGTGTAAGAAATGTCCCAAACTAATTCTCAAATGATAGAGCAAAAAATCTGAGGAAAATCATGAAGAAGATCTAATGGAAGGAAAAAAAAAGGCAATGGGGGAGGAGAGGCGATTATTACACAAATAACAGAAGAAAAATGTCTGAGCTGAGAAAAAGACATGAGCCTCATATTATCATATTAGAAAGGGCTCACCTGGTTCCAAGTGAGAGTGCCAAAACAAAACAAAATAAAGTCCCACACGTAGGCCTAAACCAGTTGCTGTTGAGTTGATTCATACATAGCCCAGTAAAAATCCTAATCTCCAAAGATAAAATGAAAATCTTTGAAAATACGAAGCCAAGAAAAAAAAAAGTAAACAAATAAGCAAAGTTACTTCCAAACAACCAAAATCAGATTGATTGCTGTCGAGTTGATTCTGACTCATAGCAACCCTGTAGGACAGAGTAGGACTGCCTCATAGTGTTTCCAAGGCTGTAATCTTTACAGAAGCAGACTGCCACATCTTTCTGCTGTGGAGTGGCTGGTAGGTTTGAACTGCTGACCTTTTGCTTAACACTGCCATCAGGGCTCCTTGCAAAATTACTTACAAAGGCAAAATAAGTCGACTAGCATCAGAGTTCTCGTTCGCACACTGGAAGCAGGGAGACATAATGTTATACACTACTAAAAGAAAAAAAGGACAGTGATCCAAGAATCCTATCTGTAGCCCGGAGAACATTTACCTATTCTGGCAAAAGAAAGAAAACTGCTGGATTTAAAGAACGTATCACCCACATAATTCATATGAGTAATTCACTTTCAGATTACCAAGGAGGAAAAGAAATGAAGTGCAACTTGTTCAGAACAACACAAGGAGGAAAAGGGGTGAAAACTTTATTAGTATTAAACGTAAAATTACTAGACCACATAAATATAAAGAATACTCATCGTTATACTAAACATGACTGACTGAATGCTTCTATTAAAAGACAATTTCAGTAAGAGAGTATAAGAGTGATGCTTATGTTTTTTTTTAACCATTTATAAATGGAAAAACCATTCTTAGCTCACAGGCCATACAGTAACAGCCTTAGTCCAGATTTGGCCTGTAGGCCATAATATTACATACTAGTGATAGCAAAAAAATGATAACAGTCCAAATATTCATCAGTTGTATAATAGGTAAATTGTAATGTAGCTATACAATAAAATATTACTCAATAGTGAAGACAAATGAGTCATAGTTCCAAGCAGCAATGTATATAATTCTTAAAAACATGAAACTGAGGATGAAGAAAAAGTAAATCACAGAAGTCAGTCAGTATAATTCTATTTATTTAAATTTCAAAACCAGGAAAGATTAAACAACATATTGTTTAGGGATGCACAAATAAGTGGTATTAATATTCAGTTTTATATGGAAAAATACATATGTAAGGTAAGTATGAAAGAGGATATGAAAGGACTAAATTTATCAAATATCTAAACATATTTGTAAAGCCTCTTTAATCAAAACCAAGTGTATTGACATAGCATTTGATCATTGAGACAAGATAGAAGATCCAGTGAAAGATCTTAGCATGCATGAGAATTTACTGTATGACACATATGACATTTCAATTTAGAGGTAAGAAGTGCTTTATAAATCGTTCTTGTATAATTGAGCATCTATCTTGAAGAAGGGACCCTAGTGGCGCAGTGGTTAAAGCTCAGCTGCTAACCAAAAGATTGGCAGTTCAAATCCAGCAGCCGCTCCTTGGAAGCCCTATAGGGCAGTTCTACTCTGTCCTATAGGGTCTCTATGAGTTGGAATCGACTCGATGGCAGTGGGTTTGATTTTTTTTGTTATCTATAACAAAATAAAATTGGACACCTTTATTATATCATATATGAAGAAAACTGTATATGAATTAAATAATTAAGTATTAAAAATAAAATAATAAAAGCATTTGAAGAAAATTTACAAGGCCACATGTATCATCTGGGCTCATGGGAAGAGGAACTTAATAAGATGGGAAACCCAGACATTATAAAAGAAAAGATGAACCAATTTAATCATCAAAATTAAAATTAAAGGCAGTGATATAAAACAAAGTCAATAGGTAAGTGATGGGTGATAAACATGGGAGAAAATTCTTCATTATAGATGGCAAGTACTTAATATCTATACTATATTATGAATCCTTACAAATTATTAGGAAAAAAAAAAGAGGTAAAAGTTAGTATAAAATTTGACAATTTGCTGAAGAGGAAATTCAGACCCATGCTCATCATATGAGAAGAGGCTTAAATCTCACTAGTGAGAAGGAGAATATTAAATCAACAGATTTCTTTCTTGAGAGAGAAAACAAGCTTTGTGCTCCAGTGTGTGGTGATAGCATCTGTAATACTAACCAACCTCACTGTCTTTTCCATCTCTTCCTGTCCTGCTTTGGCTACTTAGCTCTCTGCCTTTCTCTAGGAGGGTAAACAGAGAAAGACAGGGTGGCTGCTGGGTTCCTGACAGTGTAGCCACAGGAATCAGCGGCCTCTGAGTATGTGGCTCTGGACTTCACTCATGCTTGACACGTCTCAGAGAAAGCTGTACAGAGTTGTAATGTTGAAGAATATTAGACACCTGGTCTCCATGGGTTAATCGTGCTCTTCCTTGTACTGCCCTTCAATCTCCAGCCTGTCCCTCTCGGTAGTTTGCACTGGAATTGAGGATGGCTCAGGTTAATATAGCTTTCCCACAACCAGGTTTTCAGTTCTGTAAATCCTAGTAATTTCCCAGTTAGAACAAGGAGAAGAGCTATGAAAGGAAGGAAGAGACTTTCACCAAGGCCTGAGTTCAGGCAGGAAAAGTAGATTTAAAGAGTAAGAAGTAATTTTCATGCATGATACTTTGAGCAAGAAAGTATTTAATGGCACAACAGTACAGAGATTTCACATTTGAGAGTAGTGAGTATGGGAAAGTTCCACTTGCAGCTCAACATTGGCTGGATGTATGATAATTCATAATCAAGAGAAATCCTATAAATATAATGAATGTGAGCAGGAATTCAGCCAAAGATCTAAACTCATACACACCAGAGATTTTTACACAGGAGAGAAACCCTGTCATCATCCAGTGTAGAAGAGCCTACAGTGATCTGTCATCTCTTAAACAGCGTAAAAACAAACATGGGGAGAGGGATCCTTGATGGATGTAAACACTGTGGGAAGGCTTTCAGTCATCATGTATCACTTCGTCAATGTGAACAAATTCACACTTAAGAGAAACCCTATGAATGTGATGAATATGGGTGAGAATTCAGCCATAGAACTAGCCATTGTTTATACATACGTGAATTCATGTGGGAGAAGGAACCCCCCTATACATGTAACCAGTGTGGAAGAGCATTCACCCATATATTTATATTTCATTTGCCCAAGAAAACTCATTCTGGGGAGAAACTCTAAAAATGTACTGAATGTAGGAAAATCTTCAGGAAGAGAAAGCCTCTTGATGGACATTATTTTAACCAGAGAATAATGTGAATGAAATAAATATGAGAAATCACATCTGAAACATTCTAAATGTAATGAAAGTCTTCAGTGATCACTCATACATTAGTCAACATTAAAGTTTTCACATTAAAGAGATACGTATGCTGAATATCAATGTGAAAATGGCTTCAGCTGGAATTCCCATCCCAAAAGTCATCCTGAGAAAACTTTTTATTATAAAGACTGCTTTAACACACAATTGAGCAAAAAAATCAAATTTTTGCCAAATGACATATTTTTAAACACATGTAGAATAAAAATGTAGGATTGTGAATCGTACTTAGAAATACTTAAAGCAGACCAAAGATTAGACAGGTCTGTAGGGCCAACTTGGGCAAATGTGCTGCAAAAGACCTCTTTAAAGTGTTGAAAAACAGAGATGTCACCTTGAAGACTAAGGTGCGCCTGACCCAATCAATCACGTAATATGTGTGCGAAAGCTGGACAATGAATAAGGAGGACCGAAAAATTGACACCTTTGAATTGTGTTGTTGGCGAAGAATATTGAATATACCATGGACTGCCAAAAGAACAAACAAATCTGTCTTGGAAGAAGTACAACCAGAAAGCTCCTTAGAAGTGAGGATGGCAAGACTACTTCTTACATACTTTGACATGTTGTCAGGAAGTATCAGTCCCTGGAGAAGGACATAGTGCTTGGTAAAGTAGAGGGTCAGCGAAAAAGAGGAAGACCCTCAGTCGGATGGATTGACACAGTGGCTGCAACAGTGGGCTGAAGCATAGCGATTGTGAGCATGGCCCAGGACCGGGCAGCATTTTGTTCTGTGGTACATAGAGTCACTGTGAGTCGGAACCAACTTGACGGCACCTAACAACAACAGCAACAACATTGGGCCAACAATAACACACGTGAGGAATGTGCTTCGTAGTTCAATCAAGTATATGAGACTATCGGGCACACCAACCCAAAAACAAAGATGAGAAGACAGGAAGGGACAGGAAAACTCGACAAATGGAAATAAGGGACCCAGGATGGAGAAGGGGAGAGTGTTGACACATGGAGTTGGCAACCAATGTCACAAAACAATTTGTGTATCAGCTGTTTAATTAGAAACTAATTTGCTCTACAAACTTTCACCTAAAGCACAATTAAAACACACACGCACACACACACACACACACACGAAATACTAAATAAACACTGTACTAGATGCCCATAAAAAAAAGAAATACTTAAAGCAGAATTTTGTAAAAAGTGATTACCAAGGAGATGAATCCTTTTTGTTGTAGTGGGTATAGCTTAAAAATCTTTTAAACACCTGAATCATTCTAGTGAGTACGTGGCCCAGTTTTCTAGTAATAAGTGATCATTGTTGATAAGTTAGTATCTGTTTTTTTTTTTTTTTTTTTTTTTGCAGTTGGAAACCATGATTGCAAAGACTGAGGCTATCAGAATATAACTTTGTGTAATAACCAATACATGTGGAATCTGTCTTTTATTTCATTGGTGTTGAAATATATATTTATGGGAAGAACAAATTTAAATATGAATAAACATGATTTATAAGTGAACAAAAAAACATGTTTGCCAGTATTGTTGACAGGGCCAATAAAATGGAAACTAAGTGAGTGTCTGTTGGTAGAGAAATGGATAAGTTACGCTACCATCTCACCATGAAATACTATGCAGTCATTAAAAATCATTTAGTGCTATCTCAGTTGATATCCATGAGATAATGAATTAGGAAAGTAAGTTGCAGAGAAGTACATATAATACCTCACTTGTGTAAAGCAAATAGGAAGTAAAAACAAGCCCTCTATAAATATATACATGCATACATTGTGGTGGTGGTGGTGTTATAGGTGTCGTGGAATCTATTTGTGACTCATAGCAACCCCATTGACAGAATAGAACTGCCCCCGTAGGGTTTTCTAGGCTGTAGTCGTTATGGGAGCAGATCACCAGGTCTTTTTTCCCGTGAAGCGTCTGGGTGAGTTCTGCCAACCTTTTGGTTAGCAGCCTAGCGCTTAAGCGTTGCACCACCAGGGCTCCTTTTAGCTGTAGATAAGTATACATCTTTGTATAGTAGCCTAAAGAAAAGTACTCAAAGAAACATACCATTTTATTAACAAGTATGGGACAAGTAATAAAAGAAACGCAAACTACATGAACGAAGGGGAAATTTCAGATACGTCATGGTTGTATTTACTTATAATTGTGCGTGTGTGTTTTTATGGCTAAAATAATTCATAGGATTATTTAGAGAACCTGTGTTTTAAGGAAGATTTATTATTCAGTAGCCAAATTATTAACCTTTTTTTGGAATCATAATGAATTGCCCGCGGCAGTAGTAAATGTGAAACTAAACGCAGGTGCCTTTTTGGAGTCTTGTTTGGTATCTTTGCTCTCCAGAATAGAAAAAAATTCTGCCAGGGAAAGTATATCATATAGCCAATTCATAAAGAAGAAGAAAAAAAAAAAATCAGAAGCAGCAAATAGGCCTCACTAGTTAAATATGAACTACTGTAAAACGTAGATTGTTTTTTCTTTCTTTTTTTATAGATGAGGACGGACTTGGTATAAGTATTATTGGAATGGGTGTTGGGGCAGATGCTGGACTTGAAAAACTGGGAATATTTGTCAAGACAGTAACAGAAGGTGGTGCCGCTCAGCGGGATGGCAGGTAAGCTAACTACTGTTGTTAATTATTGAAATCTAGGAAGTTAATAATTGAAATCTAGGAATCTTTCCTGGGAATTTCTTTCAATAGTAGCTTTCTTTTGATTTTTCAGAACAGATTTAAGAGTGTGTCTTGGGTCTAAAAATATTAAAACATTTGAATCACTTTATGATTCATAGGCAGAATACCTGCTTGCTTTGGTAGGTACTAGATAAATGACTGGATGGATGAATGGATGGATGGATGGATGGATGGATCGATCGATCTATCTGTATCTGTCTACCTTTGTATCTATCCATTAATTCATCTGTCTGGTGGGAAGTGGGTAGAAACATGAGTGTATATAGTTGGAGAACATGTAGCTAGGGAGATCACTGTATAGTTGTACATCAGAAATATGAAAACAAGTAATAGTTCTAGCACTTTTGAAAATGACAGTGGTAGTATGGAAAATAGGAACACTAATTCTGCATCGTGGTTAAGAGCTCAGCTGTTAACCAAAAGGTCAGCAGTTCAAATCCACCAGCTGCTGCTTGGAAACCCTGTGGGGCAGTTCTACTCTGTCCTATTAGGGTCGCCGTGAGTCGGAATCAATTCAATGGCAATGTTTTTTTTTTTTGATAATTCTGCATCAGTGGTAATTCAGTAGGTCAGTGTTTCTCAAAATGCATTCTATATAAAAACACAGGTATCTGAGAGCAACCTAAACCTGTGGAATTAAAATATCTAGGAGTGAGGTGTGTCAGTCTGCACTTAAACGACCACCTTGGGTAATTCTGACGTACACCAGAGCATAAAATAATTATTGTTTTAGGTCATAGCTTTCATTATCTCAAGCTATGTTTATCTTTAATGTAAAGATTTCAGGTTGGGGCTGAAGCAAAAGGTTGGCAAGAGAAATAAAAGAAAAAATCCAAAATATGAACGCAAAATTCAAAGAAATATTATTTTATTTTTTTAAGAACATTGAATAACTGTCTTTGATTTTGTTTTTCTTCAATTTATAAGTGTATATCACTTAACCATTTTATCAGGAAATTGTAACATACACTGAAAATAATTTGTGAATCCCTGGTGAGATCTATAGTAGCATTATTTCTTTTGTAATCTTAAAAACACATATTGATATACACCAAGGATATTTCCCAAGAAGAAATAAATTCATTTCTTTAGATAGAAAGCCACACCTTCAGTGTCATCTCTTTTCGATAAGATTAGGGGACCATATTTTAGACAGCAGCCTTATTTGTACTCCTATTAAAAAAAAAAAAAAAAAAAAAACTACCGTCCAGTCAATTCCAACCCATAGCAACCCTATGTAGCACTTAGTATATATGCTTTTCACAGAGAACATATGTAATGAATCTTTTGAGTGGATGTTTTAACTAATTGCATGTGTATCATACTTAAAATAATGAAAGTGAATTATGAATGTTTTGTGTTTGAGAGTAATTTATTAAATGTCAATCTATTTCAAAATAGTTAAGAAATATCATTTTTGCCCTTTCAATGAATTACATAATGGCAGTGGTAAATACTTCTCATTATTAATTTAACACCTTTCTTCCAAGTGAGCTAAAATTTGTAAAGTCTATCCCATTTATCTTTTAAGTTTCATGAAAAATTTAAAAGTCATTCTAAATGATAGATTATAATTTTTACAGTTATATAATTCTTATAGTTAGTATTTAAACAATTTAAATTATTGTTTAATTAAGTAAAATAAGTAAATCAACTGCAAAGCCAAAACCACAATACAAATTGATTTAAAACAGAAAGAGAAAATTTTGCATTCATCATTTAACCAGTTCCCATTTCTTCTAAACTCAGACCTATTTGTTTTTCAATCACTCATTTTAAAAAATTAGGTTTGTTTTTTATTAACCTATTTCCTGATTTTTTTCTCCTGTTTAGTTCCAGTATTCACACCAGTATGAGAACTTTTTATCAGTCCCAGTTTGCGTTTCCTCAGTTTTTTTTAAATGAATGTTCACCTAGTATAATAAATCTGCTATTGTTATGATTCATGTTTAATAAATGCCTCAGTAACTATATTAATAAAGCTAACTTGATGTAAAGGAACGAGCAGTCTTTGGGATCATGTGGACCAAGAGTCTAATTCCATCCCTACCTCTTATCAGTTGTGGAATATTGAACAAATTACTTAGTTTTTTTTTATTATCAACATTGTAGGATTTTTGTGAGCTTTAAATAAACTCATGGAAGTCAGAAATCTTCCACAGTAATGTTAGTGTATGAAACTATTCTTGAACTAAGTAGGAATAATTTTAAAGTTTAGTAAAACATAGTTCTCAATTATGGGAAGGCTCTTATTAAGAGCTGTAAAAAGTTATACAAAACAGGCACCGTAACTCTTGCTGTCGACTTGATTTTGACTTATAGCGACCCTAAAGGACAGAGTAGAACTGCCACATAGAGTTTCCAAGGAGTGGCTGGTGGATTTGAACTGCTGACCTTTGGTTAGCAGCCATAGCACTTAACCACTACGCCACCAGGGTTTCATAAAAATTTGCATATATTTTTTAACCTACAACTAAAAATAAAAAAGCTATCACCATGTGGCTTTGGGCAAGTAACTCTCTTCAGACCTCTAGCTTGCTTCAGTTTCTTAATAGCACTTCTTATATGTGAAAACTATTTCAGTGTAATCTCAGATTTGTCACACTTCCTTCAAGGACTGCCCTGTAGGATTTAATTTTGAACGTGAATAAAGAAATGCTCAAGTTTATCGTGTGTAACTGCTTTAGTTTATTGTAAGGTAGTCATTGCAAGTCACACAGATAAGACCACAAGATGTTCACTTAGGACTGTAGAATCATAATTAACAATTACAGTTAGTCTAGAGAGCAGTCTCTTGCCTCTATCTTCTCTTAAGGAATGTGCAGAAGTCCACTGCTTGTATACAATTTTCTAACCTTAGCTTCACAGGATAAGAGCTAGATGATGTCAGGTTTGGTGTGTTGCATCTTTTCTTCAATCTCTAACATTTGCCTAATGTTGCATCTTTTAGAGATAAAGGGGCTGTTTACAACATTCCTAATGTCTCAAGATTTTCACCTTATGAAGATATAACTTTATATTACATTTCTTTTATCATACCAAGTATGTGTCAAGCCAGTTTAGGGAGACTGTTTATGACATATCTTGCATGCTTCACGTACTTCTATTTTTAAATTCAGAGATGGTCTACTTTTAAGTCACATTACAAGTGACTTGTGCATCTGTGGTTTAAGAGCATTTATAAAAGTAAACATAATAATGCCTTATACATATTATATAACATAATAAAATGCCTTATACATAACAATGCCTTGTACATATGTGGTTTAAGGATGTTTCAGAAATTGTGTAATGTACATAACAAATCAAAAAACCCATTGCTGTTGAGTCAGTTCTGACGCAGTAACTCTAGGACAGAGTAGAACTGCCCCATAGGGCTTCCAAGGAGCAGCTGATGGATTTGAACTGCTGAACTTTTGGTTAACAGCTGAGCTCTTAACTACTGCGCCACGAGGGCTCCTGTACATAGCAAAGACTGTTAAATAACTAACATATATAAAAGGTTCTTTCCTCCCCCCCATACCTGCCCCGCCCCCAAATATGAAGCCTTTTTGATGTGATTGTTCTTACCCCCTTCTAAACCTCTCACAAGCTCTCACCACAGTGAGAGTAGTTTTTAAAATTTGCTGAGTATGTATCTCTTGAGTTATCCAGTGTAGTCAAACAGTTTTGACTCTTCCTTATTCTTTGATATTACGTTTCAGATTTAAAATTTTCTTTTGTCAAGATTTTTATCCTGTACTTTCTCATATGATGCCTTAAATGTAGAAGTGCTCAATAAATATTTGTTGAATGAGTGATTACTTGAGCTTTAATCATTTTTGACACATTTACTTAGGTCTAACATTTTTACTTCTTTTTTGGTGTGACTTACCTCATAGGGAAATTTATAATTTAACTGAATGACATGATAGCCATTTCCACCTTCGGTTTTAGTTCTAAAGTTTTAGTAAAATAATATTCAATACATTTGCCATTATTTTTTGCTGCTGTAAATTTTATGATTGCACAAAGGGCACTTTCACACACTAATGACTTCTTCCGCCCACTTTTTTGATTGTATAAAGTTAGAATAAGTTTCATAATAACACAATTCAAGTGCTGATAGTAGAATAAATCACATGAGTGATAACTGACAGAAGACATTAATAGTGCTTTGTTCAACAGGCAAATTAAAAATGCATTGAGGATCTGTTTTGTTTCTGGCTATTTTTGTTTCTCATACTTTTGCATATCATCATTTTAGAACATTGCCCTTTTCAATTTTATTGGAAGAGATTGTCAGATGTGAAATTAAGGTTCTGCATAGTTTAGCCTCATTCAAGTGATGGTTTTTAAATGAATTTAATTGTTTTTGACCATCTTTTGGATAACACCAACATATAAAAAGACAAAGAGTCCTTATTGTAATGCTTATCCCGCAGCAAACTCACCCTTCCACAGCACCCTTCCGTGGCCCCTTTAGCCTAGGAGAACCCTGAATTGAAGCTGCTGTTTTAATTGTGTCCATCTGTCATAACGCCTTAGTCAGTGGTTTCTTCTTTGTGCAAACACTCTTTTGTCACCCTCCTAATCACATGTTTTGCTTGTTCACCCCCTAGAGAGTTGGTATATTACTGCTTTGATATATTATTTTCACATACATTTAAAACTTCACTATCTAGCGTTTTGGGGGAAGACTCTGTTGACCAAAGTTCATTAATGTTGCTCCAGCTGGTCTCCCTTTTATTCATCTTCGTTGCTTTGTTTGCGTAAGCCCTGTGAGGTAGAGTTTTATTTTTTTTCCCTTCTCAGAAACATCAGAGTCAATAAATAACTATCCAGTAATATTAAACAAACCCTAGAATAGTCCAATTTATGTATTTTCATTAGCCTTACTCCCATTATTCTGGTTGTTAGATTAAGAATTGGTTAATATGAGA